CCTGGAACGTTCCAAATCTCAAGAAATACTATTAATAAGATGGTCTCACTTTCTTTATCAGATTGTAAAGGCAGTTTTCTCAAATTTATCAAGTTCTTGTAATTAGCTTTGATGTTTATCAAACGGAATTAGTTTTGGTTCTTACCAAACGGAAATAGCTTTGATGTTTACCAAACGGAATTAACTTTGGTTCTTACCAAACGGAAATAGCTTTGATGTTTATCAAACGAAATTAGCTTTGGTTATCACCAAATGGAAATAGCTTTGATGTTTATCAAACGAAATTAGCTTTGGTACTTCCCAAACGGAATTAGCTTTGGCTTTAACCCAAACGGACTTAGTTTCAGAACGACTGAACGGAATTTAAATTTGGTTAGCACTCAAACATGCTAAGTGGTATTGCTTGGTGGAATTATGTTTGGCAACTAAATTGGACTTTAGCCAAGTGGAATTGCTTGGTGGAAACCGCACTAATATATCTTAAGTAAACATCTCTATTTAGCCAAGTGGAATTGCTTGGTGGAAACCGCACTAATGTATCTTAAGTAAACATCTCTATCTAGCTAAGTGGAGTTGCTTGGTGGAAACCACGGTGACATATCTTAAGTAAACATCTTTGCATCCACAGAGCTTCTTAAGTATCAACACGTCAACATGTCAGTACTGACGCGAACAAACAAAGTTGGAACAAACTTGGCCAAGTTCAGCCAGGAGCAGGCCTCCAGCAGTAGTCTTTCTCAACTCCAGCTGGGGGCAAACGATTATTTTTTCAATCCAAGCTGGACCTGAGTAAGACACCTTTTCATGCCTTTACGTCGTTTAGGTGCTCTTATGCTATCAAAGTTGAAACAGACTTCAGCAGTTCTACCTCAGAGCATAATCTTCAGCGTCGGTCTTACTTAGCTCCAGGTGGGGGCAAACAATTGTTTTCTTTCAAAACCAACCTGAACCTAAGTAAGACCCACTTACGAACTCCAGCACCGCCATACCACATATCCGTTAGCCACACTGAGCACAAGTTCAGCCTCGAGGTCCCAACAGTGCTCGGTCGGGGGCAAACAGTACAGTTCTACACCGAGCATCAGTTCGGCCCCGAGGCCCCAACAACGCTCGGCTGTGGGCAAGCAGTACAGAATCAGACAGAACATCCATTTAAAGGCAATACAGAACCAGACCGAGCATCTATTCGGCCCCGAGGTCCCAACAGTGCTCAGCCGGGGCAGGCAGTATAGGAAACATTCAAACATAGAAGCCAAACAGCATCAGATTGCAAGTTCAAAAACAAAATTCTATCATCCAACAAAAGGCACAGATGGCCTTATAACCAGCAGCAAAGAAAAGAAAAGAAAAATTGTCTTGGCAAATGCAGAAAGAAAACTCATCATGGAGACCGAGCCACAGTACATCAAAGCAAAAAAAGTTCAAATTCTTTTAACATCAATTTTCATCAACAGCGGGTAACTCAAGAGCTGCATCAGCAGTTTTGTCCAGGCCATCTGCGGGAGGAAAAGTAGAGGAAGCTCTAACTTCCTAAGAAGTAGAAGCCTCCTTAACCACATCTCTCGTGGCTTCTGTCTCTGGGGCTTCAATCCCTTCAACATCCACCGTTTCAGTGGCAACATTCTTATCCTGGGTCTTGTTTGCGGAATCAACTTCTGGGGAAACTTCGGCCGGCAGAACAGCAGGGGTGGAAATAGTCTTCAAACCCAAGGATCTCGAAAGAACGGGGACATCTTGAAACAGGGAAGAGCCTTTAGGAACCAGCGCAGCAGACAAGGCACTTGTCCAACCCTTCACAAAGAGCTTATCTCGCAGCACTAGCACCTCTTCCTTATAAACAGCCCCAGCTTCGTCCCAACCCTGTTGCCAGTGTTTGGCTTCCAAGGCAGAGCGCTCGGCAGCCATCACAGCAATAACAGCCTCCAATTCGGCCACTTTTCCCTCGAGTTGAGCCTGTGTCCCGATAGCAGCCTCCTTCAATTTTTCAACTGAAGCGACAATCTTGTTTAAACGAAATGCTTTCCTCTCTACAGTTCAGCGTCCCTCTTTCTCTGTCTCCAAGCTTACCGTTAGTCTTTCAGCGTTCATTGCGGCCTTCAGCACGGCCCTTTCTAGCTCTTCAGCACGAGTAATAGACAGATGCATTCTCTGGATACACTGCAAAGGACAACGAAGAACTAAGAAAAAGGAAGACAACAACGCAACAGTAAAGACAAGTAAAACAGGAAACACTTACAGCGGTTATCATCTGAAGGGTCCCCTTCAGGATAGGAATATCACGGGGCCCATTGTGGTCAGCCATATCAACCGGCATCAACAAAAACTTAGTCAAATCAAAAGTAAAATCTTGTGAAGCGACAACTGAATCAGAAGTGGAAATAGGCCTGCCTTCATGCGATATTGGCTGCTCCCATTTCTCAAAAGCATCATCCTCAGCAGGATCCTCAGAAGCTTCCCCCACCACTGCCTTGCCAGCTTCTCTTCTCCTTTTTTTTGCTCGCGCAGCGACTGAAGCTGAGGGCTCGGCAGCAGTCGCAGGGGTTCCAAAAGCTCCAACCTCCATCTTCACCTCCATGAGGCTCTTCACCTCGGTCTTCTCCAGAGGGGTTTGCAAAGCATCAGAGGCTCCGAAGGCCTCGGCCTCTAAATCCACCAACACCCTTCTCTTCGCCACAGACCCGCTCCTTGTGAAACTGGGGGTAGGGGAAGGCGCTCTTTCGGAAAGTGCACCCTAACTCCTGCGACGACTTGTGACCAAAGGAGTGAGAAATGTGTCAGTCTCGGTATCGGAATCCAGAAGGATAGCAGCGAGACTCGCCTTCTTTGGAATAACGGAGCGGTAAGTAGATTGGTAGTCCAATAACTTAGGTGCAGATCTCTTTTTATACCTCAGGGCATCTTTTATGGCTTTAGCATTCTCTCGGTTCGGCCTTCGTTGGAAACGAGAGGACTCTGCAAAAAAGAAGTGACACATCAGAGTAATACCCAAAATAATGTAAGGAATACAAAAGACATTAGAAGAGAAGACCCGAACCTGGGTAGCCGTCTTTCTAGGGCATCTGCTCAAACTGAAACTCAGTACCGGCGGGGAACTCCTAGTTTCCACCGACTTGAAGGAAATCATCATTGTGTTTATCTGAATCAGGTAACCCGGTAACCAAATGGCAATCAAATGAGCGAACACGCAAGTAATATGTGCTGTGGTCTTTGTTATGAGAAAGAGTATAACAACCTAAGATATCCCATATGTCAAGGTTCAAACCCAATCGTCTATTGAGGACAGAGACACCGCAAACAACACGGAAAAGGTTCACAGATACTTGCATTGGGGTTAGCTGGACTTGATGTAGAAATCGGCGTACCAACGGGTCAAGAGGGAACCGAACCCCTCCCTCGACTATGGCCGCGATGGAAAAAGCAACGGTATTCCTCGTGCCCATACGCTTGGCGTCTACTTTTACCAACGATAAGGTAACGTCGTTGGGAATATTATAGTCTAGGCAGAACATAGCCATGGCCTCGGGGGTATCAACCAGTGAACGAAATTTTCCTATTCAACAAACCTAATGGGACAGAGGTAGGACTCAGATAACAGAGTATGGAATACAGACAGCGAGTAGACCAAAACAGATGATTAAGGCAAAAAGAGGCAAAAGAAGAAGAGTCGCAAGAGGACTTACAGAGATTAGAACAGTGGTAGCAGAGCAAGATCAACAGTGAAAAAGTCTGAGCAGAGCACCAACGAGACTGGTTCAGAGGAACGGGAAGAGTCATTTCTCTCTTTTGAAACTCTTTAGAGGAACGAAAAAGCAGATGAAGGGATTTGTATTGACAGCCAGAGCATTAATTGCACTAGCCGGCGTGCAGGTACACGGAGCACGACCTTCAGTATGGGATCGACGCACTATCTCTGCACACTAATCTCACATCGCCACGTGTCTTTATGAAAGGACGCATGCAGGAATTGCGTGTCAGGATTGAACCGTCACCAAGGCCAAGCTGAGGAAAATCGAAACGACGCGACGCTTGGGAAGCAGAACAATAGCTCCCCCCAAGGGGAACCTTAGCGCGAGCTAGGGGGCAAATGAAGGGGCTAAATGTGAAATGGGTCGAGTCTAAGCCTTGAGCCGGTCCAATCCACTGAAGTCCAAATCCAAGTGGGTCGGATGAGTATTTGGGCAAACCAATTAAGCCCAACTTAATGACCAACAGTCCACGCAAGTCCTCAAGCACTTGGGTCCAACCCGCAGTGGAAAGGCCAGTCCAGCCGTGGTGCTGGGCTGGGCCGAGCTGCGAGACTGAATCTACGGGCCGAACAGAAAATAGGCCGAGCCCATGCAAAGTTACCTGAATGGACAAGCCCATCTCCATGAGTGATCCTGTAAAAGGCTGAGACAAGGCATAATGATGCCGAACTGAGGAACATCGGTACCGAGCTGAGGAAACCTCGCAAGGAAACGTGGAAGCTGTGAACGTGTGCATGTGCAGGTTGCCACCTCAGCTGGTCCCCTACACCTAGAATCACGGAAGTTGTTAAGACAAAGGAATGTAGTTTGTTATCAGCATGACTACAATGAGTATATGCATTTATTGGCAACTAACAGGTGGTCCCCCACCATGGGCAATGCCAAAAGGACATCTAGCAGCATCCAAGTTCCATGAATCCACCTTGAGAAGCAAGCAAGGAACAACATATATATACTACATGAACTTCACATTGAAGGTAACTGAATAGAACTCAACTATTCCAAGCAAAACCATACTCAACTCCCTTCTCCGATCACTAATTCCCACACCGGAGGGGTCATCCGGCCAACCCCGGCTGGGTAGCTCTAACGGTGCCTCTTGTCGCAGGAACTTCAGTCCCTGGATAGTCCAACCGAGTGCAGAGCATCGATCCACTTTCATCTAGTGCGGAATTCGGTACGCACACATAGTATTCCAAAATTATTGAATAATTTCCCATCAAACTCACCCATTATTTTTTTTGAACTTGACAATTAACGGTTTTTTCCCTCTCAAATCCTTCTCTCAATGAAAGAACAAGTCGACCAAGTGTTTGTGAAAATGCCCCGACGAAATTCCACAAACAGAGAACAACCCACCACTTCTTTCCGAAGATCTCCGAGACTCCTTCCAAAGCATCGATCTTCACCACCTCATCTTCCTTCGCTCAACTCAGCACAAAAGGGTTCTCTGACGAAAACCCAGAATCTTTTCCTAGAACATGTTTTAAAGAAGGTCGATGAATCAGACTGTCGATCGAAGATTTTTGAGAAATCAAACACTGGGTCTAGAAGATTTGCAATATTGGTTGGTGGGGTTAACCAAGTTGCTGGTAATAGAGAGAAGATTGCGACACGAAGTTCGAGTCAGGGAAACCACCCCAATGAAGGTGTGGAAAGGATTTGCGAAGATAAGTGTAATGGGTTTATCAAGAGTCCACGAAGTGAGGATTCTGAGAATGAGGTTGTATCAGATATAGAAAGAGATGAAGCGGGTGCTGCTAAGTCATGTAAAAAGAGGAAGAGAAATCGAGTTGAGGAAGGTCATGGAATTGTTCAATGTTGGACTAAGGATCAAGAATTGGCCTTGCAGAGAGCTTATTTTAGTGCGATTCCCACACCCCATTTCTGGAAGAAAGTTGCTAACCTGGTAATTAGCTACTCTTTGGTGCTGTTGGTATCAATGAGCTTTGTGTCTTTGTTAAGGCATCTCCAATTATTCACCTTTTTTTTCATCAAAGAGTCATTTTTTTCACCAAATTGAGAAGTCATCAAATCCATAATCAAATTTGAATTTGATAAAAAATTAAAAAGATGAAGCATTAGAGATGATTTTATTTTTTTTTCCGCCCCATCAAATTTGATGAAAAGGGAAATTTGGCATAACAAGGGAATTTTTAAAAAGATTTTGATGAAAATTTGATCAAAGGATTGGAGCATTTCATATCAAATGAAGCTTTTTTCTAAAATTTGAAATCAAATTAGATGAAAAAATTGGTAAAGGGTTGGAGATGCTTATACATGCAATTTTAATGCTTGTTGTGATGTTTACTTAATGCAATTTTTTATGGTTCAACAATAAGTTTATTTGTTTTCAAATTATTCAATATTAAATAAAAAGAAATATATCATTATGTGGGAAGTTTATCATTTGAGCTTTTCTTCGTTCTCAACATGGTGCGATACCTAATCTTAAAAAAAAAAAAAAAAAATCTTGAGCGAGAAGCTTCTTGATCGCATGCAATGTTTACTTTAGGCTTAACTTTAATTAAAAAGATTTAAGGATCAGAACACATCTGGCTGATTTAAATGACATAAATTTTAGTCCATATACCAATAGTACATTATTTATATATGACGACAATGCCCAAATCTGAATATATTCTAGAATTTACCCTTGTTTGTACCAGATTTCTTGATTGTAGTAAGCAAATGCGCACATGCAAATTTAAGTAGCAAACAATATGCTAACACGTAACCTTTTCTTTCTTTCTCTCCTTCATCCACACAATCTTATGTAGATGTGGTCCCTGTCACCATCACAAGTGAGATAACTCAAATGTGCTAAAAGAGTCACCAGTTCACTATGAAGCATGGAATATAGATATGGGATACGGGTATGACAACACATATATACGTTGACACGACAAATTCTAAAAAAAGTAGGACAAAAGATACATTAAGGACATTGAGATATATGTGTATATATATCATGTACACTATGCATGTATGTATATAAATAGAAAAGTAATTTTCTCATGACATATTCACATAAATTTTTGTAAGGTTATGTCATGTGCACACAAACATAGACCAAATTTGACATATAAAGCCAAATGGTGAAAGAAATACTTGCATAGCCTTTCTCAAGTACTTGGGATGAGGGTTTTGTGGGGTATGCAAATAATAGTTGGTAAAAGAGTAATAATTCGCTTTGTTGGGCACAGTACAATTTAAGAAGACAATCTAGGAGGAAGGTTAAACATAATAGTGCTTGAGGTAGTGAAGGAAAGCATCATGAAATATCATCTGACAGCGTATATGCCCTAGATAGAGTTCCTGCATTAGTTAGGATTCACTGCATTCTTGAGTATAGAGGTAAAAGTGGTACTAGGTGTGTGTGTTTGTCTTTATGACTATGCATAGAACTTATGAAGTCATAGAGATAGAATTCATATCCATTTTGTTTACGTTGCAATCTCCTTTTGTTGAATGATACAAGCTGTGAACCCATATATTATCTTTAAACTATTAAAAGGTAGTTTGTCACCACCTGTAATGTTCTATTCAAAACGGATTGATTTTGAGTTGATGTTACAATTGCAAAACCTGTTGCAGGTACCTGGAAAGTTTGCAAAGGATTGTTTTAATAAAGTGCATTCTGACCATTTGACACCACCTCAACCTCGAACACGTTCGAGGATGAGCAATACAAATTCATCATTCATGTCTCTCTCGGCAAGTACATTGCTTAAATCTTCAGAGTCAAAGACAAAAGGGCCAAGTGGCCATAAACTTAAGAGTCATCTTGTGCAGAAGACTGTGCGACAATTACTACAAAAGCATTATAATGTGGACCAAGATTTTGATGCTGATTTATTCTCTGTTCTTGAGTCCACTTTTGATCCATCAACTCAAGATTTCCCGCAGGGTGTAAAATTTTCAACTCGAACATGTGAACAAGAAAAGCCTGGATATATTAAGAAATGCCTTGAGAGATCCCATTCAGCTTGTAAGAAGCACCTTTCACAACTCAGTAATGTTAGGGAAAATATGTGATTCTCCATAAGTAAATCAATCAATGAAAATAAAAACTAATGCAGAAAAATTAAATAAAAAACAACACAAGAATTTTTACGTGGTTCCCTCGATGTGAGGTACGTCCACGGGATCGAAATTTAATTCCACTATCAACTAAAGAAGTTCCAAACGATTACAAACGGGACACCAATGGTCTCACAAAACCACCCTTAGGTGAATTCCAAATAATCACAAATAAACAAGAGGAAAGATCTCACCAAATAGATGAACCAAAATTTTCAGAACCAGAGTTGAAGAAGACCCAAAATAACGAACCAAATCAACTTCACCAAAGCAATCAAAATGCACACGTATAATGTTTCACAAGATCAAAAACCGAAGCAACAAACTTCCACACACAGGAGCAGAAAAGTAGCACTTCTCACTCATCCAAGTTTGACTCCACCGAATTGATTCAATCAATATCAATATTAAGCCACTGCTTCGGCTCCACTTTGGAACACATAAAAAAAAAAATATATATATATATATATTGAATCTTGTGTTTTGAAATCAAATCCTAATTGTTACCAAATTAAATTAGATCTCTAAAAATTAGATATAATATATTAAAATATATTATACCTAAATCAAACCAAATTAAAATTCTTTAACAAACCAATTGGGTTTCAAACTCCAATAAGGAGATATACTCCAACAATCCTCCCCCTATCGACTTAGGTGAAGACATCAATCATACCCGTCAAAGTTCGACACTTTAAATGTTTGTCCCTCGACAAAGTCTTAGTCAACATATCCAAAATATTATCATCTGGGTGAACCTTTTCAAGTTGTAACAGTTTCGAATCTAACACATCACGAATTCAATGGTATCTCACATCAATGTGTTTCGATCTCGAATGAAAAGTATAATTTTTACTCAAGTGAATAGCACTTTGACTATCACAATAAAGCACATACTTTTCTTACTTCAAACCCAACTCTTGCAAAAATTTCTTAAATCATAACTCTTCTTTGCAAGCTTCTGTAATGACAATAAATTCAACTTCGGTAGTTGAGAGAGCAACACATTTTTGTAATTTAGATTGCCATGTCACAGCTCCCCCTACAAAACTCATCAAATACCCCGAAGTAGATTTCCTAGAATCAACATCACCGGCCATGTCAGAATCTGTGAACCCATCAAGCATCGGCTTACCATCCCCAAAACACAAAGACACCTTCGAAGTCCCTCAAAGATACCTTAGAATCCATTTTACCGCTGCCCAATGTTTTTTTCTCGGATTAGAGAGAAAACGACTCACCACACCAATGGCGTGAGCAATATCCGGTCTTGTACAAACCACAGCGTACATCAAAGAACCAACTGTTGAAGCATAAGGAACTTTTAACATCTCTTCCTTGTCTTTCTCACTTGTAGGACATTGATTCGAACTAAGCTTGAAGTGACCTGCAAGTGGACAACCAACAGGCTTTGCTTTATTCATGTTGAACCTCTCAAGAACTTTCTTAATGTAGTTTTCTTGAGACAACCAAATCAGCCCCTTTTTGCGATCACGAACAATTTTCATACCAAGTATTTGCTTTGCCGGTCCCAAATCTTTCATAGCAAAAGACTTGCTCAACTCCAATTTCAACCTGTTTATCATGGTAGAATCTTGGCCCACAATTAATATGTCATCAACATAAAACAAAAGAATAATAAATTTACCATTCGGAAAATTTTTCACAAACACACAATGGTCCGAAGTGGTTTTAGAAAAACCATTATTCATCATAAAAGAGTCAAATTTTTTGTACCATTGCCGCGGGGCTTGCTTGAGACCATACAAACTTTTCTTCAATTTGCAAACAAGTTTATCTTTCCCTTTCTCCATAAAACCTTCCAGTTGCTCCATGTAAATTTCTTCTTCAAGATCACCATAAAAAAATGCAGTCTTCACATCAAGTTATTCAACATCAAGGTTCATACTTGCAGCCATGCCAAGTACAACCCGAATAGAAGACATCTTCACAACCGGCGAGAAAATCTCGTCAAAGTCAATACCTTTCTTTTGCCCAAAGCCTTTCACAACAAGACGTGCCTTGTACCTCAGATTCTTGCCATCATTCTTCAATTTGAAGACCCACTTATTTTTCAGAATTTTCCTCCCCTTAGGCAACTTCACTAAATTAAATCAAAGGCAACACAAGAATTTTTACGTGGTTCCCTCAATGTGAGGTACGTCCACGGGATCGAAATCCGATTCACTATCAACCAAAAAAAGTTCCAAACGATTACAAACGAGACACTAATGGTCTCACAAAATCACCCTTAGGTGAATTCCAAATAATCACAAATAAACAAAGAGGAAAGACCTTGTTTACGTTGCAATCTCCTTTTGTTGAATGATACAAGCTGTGAACCCATATATTATCTTTAAACTATTAAAAGGTATTTGTCACCACCTGTAATGTTCTATTCAAAACGGATTGATTTTGAGTTGATGTTACAATTGCAAAACCTGTTGCAGGTCCTGGAAAGTTTGCAAAGGATTGTTTTAATAAAGTGCATTCTGACCATTTGACACCACCTCAACCTCGAACACGTTCGAGGATGAGCAATACAAAATTCATCATTCATGTCTCTCTCGGCAAGTACATTGCTTAAATCTTCAGAGTCAAAGACAAAAGGGCCAAGTGGCCATAAACTTAAGAGTCATCTTGTGCAGAAGACTGTGCGACAATTACTACAAAAGCATTATAATGTGGACCAAGATTTTGATGCTGATTTATTCTCTGTTCTTGAGTCCACTTTTGATCCATCAACTCAAGATTTCCCGCAGGGTGTAAAATTTTCAACTCGAACATGTGAACAAGAAAAGCCTGGATATATTAAGAAATGCCTTGAGAGATCCCATTCAGCTTGTAAGAAGCACCTTTCACAACTCAGTAATGTTAGGGAAAATATGTGATTCTCCATAAGTAAATCAATCAATGAAAATAAAAACTAATGCAGAAAAATTAAATAAAAAACAACACAAGAATTTTTACGTGGTTCCCTCGATGTGAGGTACGTCCACGGGATCGAAATTTAATTCCACTATCAACTAAAGAAGTTCCAAACGATTACAAACGGGACACCAATGGTCTCACAAAACCACCCTTAGGTGAATTCCAAATAATCACAAATAAACAAGAGGAAAGATCTCACCAAATAGATGAACCAAAATTTTCAGAACCAGAGTTGAAGAAGACCCAAAATAACGAACCAAATCAACTTCACCAAAGCAATCAAAATGCACACGTAATGTTTCACAAGATCAAAAACCGAAGCAACAAACTTCCACACACAGGAGCAGAAAAGTAGCACTTCTCACTCATCCAAGTTTGACTCCACCGAATTGATTCAATCAATATCAATATTAAGCCACTGCTTCGGCTCCACTTTGGAACACATAAAAAAAAAAAATATATATATATATATATTGAATCTTGTGTTTTGAAATCAAATCCTAATTGTTACCAAATTAAATTAGATCTCTAAAAATTAGATATAATATATTAAAATATATTATACCTAAATCAAACCAAATTAAAATTCTTTAACAAACCAATTGGGTTCAAACTCCAATAAGGAGATATACTCCAACAATCCTCCCCTATCGACTTAGGTGAAGACATCAATCATACCCGTCAAAGTTCGACACTTTAAATGTTGTCCTCGACAAAGTCTTAGTCAACATATCCAAAATATTATCATCTGGGTGAACCTTTTCAAGTTGTAACAGTTTCGAATCTAACACATCACGAATTTCAATGGTATCTCACATCAATGTGTTTCGATCTCGAATGAAAAGTATAATTTTTACTCAAGTGAATAGCACTTTGACTATCACAATAAAGCACATACTTTTCTTACTTCAAACCCAACTCTTGCAAAAATTTCTTAAATCATAACTCTTCTTTGCAAGCTTCTGTAATGACAATAAATTCAACTTCGGTAGTTGAGAGAGCAACACATTTTTGTAATTTAGATTGCCATGTCACAGCTCCCCCTACAAAACTCATCAAATACCCCGAAGTAGATTTCCTAGAATCAACATCACCGGCCATGTCAAATCTGTGAACCCATCAAGCATCGGCTTACCATCCCCAAAACACAAAGACACCTTCGAAGTCCCTCAAAGATACCTTAGAAATCCATTTTAACGCTGCCCAATGTTTTTTTTCTCGGATTAGAGAGAAAACGACTCACCACACCAATGGCGTGAGCAATATCCGGTCTTGTACAAACCACAGCGTACATCAAAGAACCAACTGTTGAAGCATAAGGAACTTTTAACATCTCTTCCTTGTCTTCTTCACTTGTAGGACATTGATTCGA